CTTTTAATTTGACAGTTATAAGACTTGCGTGCTTCAAATGCCAGAGTTTCTGAGCCAACATTTTGGTTGCTAAGCCAAGAGCGTTGTTAAGTGAGTTTCACCACATTTTACAAGTTGGCCACACCTACCCAGTCACATGGCCAGCAAGCCACTCCCACAAAGCAGGCCACACCTACAGAAGAGGTTCTAAAATTTTTTTGAAACCCACCACTGTTCTCATCCAACAATACTGGTGAGGAATGGAAGTGTTCAGCAGTCCCAAAAAGATTCCAGACCCATTTATAATCTGATTCAGGTGACCCTGAGGATACAGATAAACCCCCATGTTTGCTCACCAATCCAATAAAACAATTTGTTGGAATGTAATTGGACAAGTACAGGTAATTAAAGGGGGAGACGGAGAAAGGGGAAAAGTTAACCATATGCTTTGGGTGCAAAAACTCAGATCCGGCTTTGCTACGCTGCAACCAATTTACCTTAGTAAAGCATACTTTCTTTCCTAAGAGCCTGACTTGAGACAGCTGACCGAATCTGAGTAAGATTACATGGTTAACGTATTGCAGCTTTATATGAAAAACAAAAACATGTAGCTGTGCCTTCCCTCTGAAGGGTTTGGATAACAACACTTGTTGGCTGGGGATGACTGGAGCTATAGTCCAAGAGACACCAGGGCCAAGGGAAGGCTGGTTTAGTTTGAGGACATATTTACTGAGGAAAGATCTAACTTTATCTCACTGCTATGAGAAATATTCTTAATGGGATTAAGATAAGCAAGTTTAGAATAGAAAATAACTCAGTCTGAACATACCCATTGGAGTAAAACATGACATCCATAAGGAGTGTAGCAACGGAGGGAAGGGTATCAGGGTCCAGGCTGGTGACACAGAACATGTTACTCGGACTGGAAAGGGGGTGGATGACAGGCCTTTGCACTGAAAGAAAAGGGAGAGAGAGACAGAAAGGCTGAAAGCATAATGAAAATAAAACTGCAGTATGGATTCCACCTTTCTAGCAGCACTAGAAATACAATAATGCAAAGATTTTTTTACAGAGACAAAACTAACATGACAGCGAACATTTTCTTGGCATGCCAGTTTTCTACACGCAACACAATGGTATTCAACTATCCCCATATCCTGCAGTTGCAAGACTAATGGCAGATTGCGTGCAATGGCAACTTACTTGTAATGCCAAAGATTGCAACCCTATGTGCATCTTGAGGACTATAGGTCAGATGTATCTACTACAGGTAGTTCTTGACTTACAACCATAACTATGATCTCCTGCTCTATTTTTCAGTGTATGGGTTGAGAAACAAGTTTGTCCTTGAAAAACCCTGTACAGGCCTATCAGCCCTTTCACCATCATTGCTATTGATAGTGGTAATAAAAAAGGTAGAATGTTGAGGAACATTTCTGAGTTGCAGAATTCATTATCCACTCATTTCTTCGACATGCCCCAACAAGAAGAAAACAAATGACACCCTTCCAAAATAGGAACACTAATTCTGCATCACTTTGGAGGCAAGAGAAAGGAAGAGTGCTAAGAAGCTCTTTAAAAAGATAGCTGAAAAGTGGGACAGGAATGAGGAAAAAAAAAACCATGTTCCTCTAGGCTACACCTAAATTCCAGGTTGGAATGACACAAACTTCAGTAAGGCATTTAATAAAATAGATCATAACCTGCTACTAGATAAAGTAGAAAAATGTGGGTTAGACAGCATCACCACTAGATGGATTCGTAATTGGCTGACCAACTGCACTCAA